CCTATTCATGAAATTTGTGAATTTATGAAATTTATTATATTTTATTCTGCATTTCATGCTTTCAGTTTCAGTTATTTAAATAATGAGGGGCAAAGGTTTAAGTGGAGCTGCTAAGCACAAAGCCAGAAAACAAAAACAACAACAGAATTCTGCTGAACTTAAAAAAAATAAGATTTTTTTTTTTTAATATAAACCTAAGTGAGAAAAAAGACTTGCCACACTGTAGTACCTCGTCTGCTGATGTTACACCCACAACTGACCTATAAAGGAAGAGGACTTACCTGGCTGTAGTACCTCGTCTGCTGATGTTACTCCCACAACTGACCTATAAAGGAAGAGGAGTTACCTGGCTGTAGTACCTCGTCTGCTGATGTTACACCCACAACTGACCAACTAAAGGAAGAGGAGTTACCTGGCTGTTGTACCTCGTCTGCTGATGTTACACCCACAACTGACCTATAAAGGAAGAGTTACCTGGCTGTAGTACCTCGCCTGCTGATGTTTCACCCACAACTGACCAACTAAAGGAAGAGTTACCTGGCTGTTGCCTGCTGCTGATGTTACACCCACAACTGACCTATAAAGGAAGAGGACTTACCTGGCTGTAGTACCTCGTCTGCTGATGTTTCACCCACAACTGACCAACTAAAGGAAGAGGAGTTACCTGGCTGTTGTACCTCGTCTGCTGATGTTACACCCACAACTGACCTATAAAGGAAGAGGACTTACCTGGCTGTAGTACCTCGTCTGCTGATGTTTCACCCACAACTGACCAACTAAAGGAAGAGGAGTTACCTGGCTGTTGTACCTCGTCTGCTGATGTTACACCCACAACTGACCTATAAAGGAAGAGGACTTACCTGGCTGTAGTACCTCGTCTGCTGATGTTTCACCCACAACTGACCAACTAAAGGAAGAGGAGTTACCTGGCTGTTGTACCTCATCTGCTACATATACAACTGACCAATCAAAGAAAAGTGATGAAATTAAATGGCATGAAATTCAGTATATTGAAGCTGATCTTGGGAAATGGAGAAGACCAATATCACAGGAACTTCAAATTTACTGGTCAAAGGCTGGGCCAGATACTTGTCAGCATCATGACTCTGAGTTTAAAGGAACTTTAAGAATGTATGGTTCAGGTGAGCATCAGAAACGCTGTTTCCTCTCAAAGTCTGCATTCTTCAGAACTTTGAGTAATGGCTAATCAGTAAAGAGAGAATGGTTACTCTTCTCTAAATCACAAGGTAAACTCTACTGTTTCACATGTTTGCTCTTCTCTAGTACATCTATAAGTTCACCATTTGTGCATGGTTTCAATGACTGGGCACACACTAGCAGAGCTCTTGGGGAACACGAATGTTCAGTGGATCACAGAAAAACAACTCTAGCCTATGTACAGCTACCAATGATCGGTAATTGTATTGGCGGTGGACTCCGTCATCAAATTGAAAATGAGAGGAAATATTGGCATTCATTACTTTTGAGTTTGGTAGAAGTAATAAAGTTTTTGAGTGAGCGTGGATTAGCATTCAAAGGGTCTGATAGTCATAGGATCACCCCATAACGGTAACTTCCTAGGTATTCTTGAACTAAGAAGCAAGTTTGATCCATGATGCTGTAGTAACTCATTCACTACGTGGTGTCGTAGCATCATGGGGACACCACGTGGTCTGTTATCACAGGACCTCATTCACTCAAGTGAGTGAGGTGTGGTCCCAGGCCTCCCTATCGTGGAGTCTCAGGAATTATCACTGGGTACCTGGGACCTCACTGTGTGAAGGTTAGATTGGGTAAGACTCAACTGTAACTGCTGTGTTGTTTTTCACTGTCTTTAAGCACTGTTCACCACTATTCAATACTAGTTCCATTCCTTTCCCAAATGAGATAGTAACTTCTGGCGCGATCTTGTTGATATTCAACCAGAAGGCTTTGTGACACATGATGATTTATACACTTCTGAACCGTTTTCCCAATCTATGGGATGATAATTGTTCATTATATGAACATGTATAGAAAAATGACGAAATATTGCGTCATGCTCCCGGGTCCTCTTGTGTTGGAGGTTTGGGGAGGGAGGGAACTGACAACACACCTCACAAAAAGGTTCCTGCCTCTCCCCTCCATGCCTGCCATGTTTTACTTTGTATGTTTTTATTTATTATTTAATAGATATGTTTACTGTAATAATTTGTGCTTAATGTTTAATATTTTATATTAACCGTGATAAAACATACACCATAAGAGGCTAATCATTGGTGAAAAGGGGAGTGCCTGCCTCCTTGCCTCTGTCCAAATCAGTGTCTCACACAAAAGACTGTAAACTAGTTGTTGTGTGTGTGTATGATCTGGTGTTGGGGTATTAGTTAATGAATAATAAATAAGCAATATTGTATTGTTAATGACTGTACTGTACAGTAGTTTGATGAATGGTAGTGACAATTGTAGTACGCTGCTATTCATCAAATGACTGTCATTGACGATACAATATTGCTTATTTATTAATTGATACCACAACATTACACCCAGACACCCTAGCACCACCCGCACACCCCTATATTGTATGACGTAAATTTATGCGTGGTTAACTACGTGGTGGTAAATTAAAAGATCCGCTGTTGAGGAGCTTAGGGCTAGGCAACACACACTCCTTTCCACTCCATCTCTCTAATCACCCACAGCTTTCAGCTTTCTCACTCCACATTTTAAAATCTTATGTAACGTAATGTTGAAGGGATATAATGCGATAAGTATAAGTATATAAAGTACTGTATTTTAGCTTTCATGTTTATTCAAGACATCTTCAGGTCCTGAGACCTACTAATTCCCCACCCAACAGTGGGTGACTTGACATGGTATCAGGTCAGTAATATGAGAACACTAATATCCCACTCTACCTCCACTTGACATTGTGTCAGGTCAGGTCAGTTACGCAAAACCCACGAATCCCCCACAGCTCCAAGGGAGTGGAAAATACCAGTCCTTGCTGTAACACACAGCTTCTTTCATGACCAGATCATATAGATTTCTAGTTTAGACTCTTGAAAAACTCCCCATCACACAGAAACATTATGAGGATGTGGGCTAGTCTTTGTCTGCATAGTTTAGACACTCGGAAAGTTTTTTCCAGTAACTGGAAATATTTTCGGGGATGGGGGATTTTTCCAGGTTTGAGAAAGTCATCGGTTAGCCTGAAATCTCTCATCCCCGGAAGTGCTCTGCACCAATTTGTCCCGGCAAACGGGGATATCACTCTACAGTACAGTGGTCCCTTGGTTAACGAGCACAATCCGTTCCAGCAGGTTGCTCGTTAACCGAAAAACTCGTTAACCGAAACCATTGTTTCAATGGGTTTTTGGGTAATTGGTTCCAGCTCACCGAAAATTGCCTTAATTCAACAAAAAAGGTAGAAAAGTACACTTACTTTGAGGTGTGTATGTAGAAGGCTCCTGGATGATGATGATGGGAATTAGAATGGGGGTGGAGGAGAAGGAAGAAGAGAAGGCATTGGGGTGGAAGAGAAGTCATCCCATGGCACCATTTCACCCATAAAATTTTAGTTCTCTTGGTGTAATTCAAGATTATTTTCTTTAAATCAACACTGCACTGCATTATATATTGTCAATATGTAAAATAAATTTCAAAATGACCAATAATTTTCTTGGAAACACAGAAAAAAACCTTCAGTTGAAGAGAGTCTCAAGCAAGATGTTACCTCCACTGAAAACAGAGAGAGACTAACGCCTGTCTGGTGTGTTAACAGGCTGGATGGCACGCCAGAAATTAGTTTCTTTACTTTCAATTATGTTCAATACAGTAATTGTTAAAATGACTAAAAAAGTTAATATTAAACTTTTAAAATTATTGAATAGTATAAACTTCTTGATATTTACTAAAATAGTAAGGAATTTAAGCCCTAAAACCGATTACTGTATTGGTGGACTAATACTACAGCTGGTGGACCGCCAAATGCAAGCGAAAACATGTTGAAGTCGGCTCGTAAAAAACTCGTTAATCGAGGGATTGCTCGTTAACCGAAGTTAAGAATCTCATGGAAGGTAAATCGTTAACCGAAATCTCGTTAACCGAGGCGCTCGTTAACCGAGAGATCACTGTACAGTAGTACCCCGATTTACGCGGTCAATTGAACCCACAGGGTACTGCGTAAAGTGAAAACCGCGTAAAGTGAACAACAGAACATATGGGATTAATTCCAATAGAGACTGGCCCGACCCCCAAACTCCACTTTTTGACGACACACAACTATGTTGTAGTAAAAATATTATCTTAACTTTATGATGGTATGCACACACAATTAATAATTAAGAGAAATATCAATAATATTAGTTTTTTTAACACTTACATTAGTAGAAAAGATGGCTGGGCACACGGGGATGGGGGTTGGTTCCGAGGCAGAGGGCAGATTATTGGCCCTCACCTGTATCACTTGTATCAATTGTATCACTATCCACCACAGAGGCTTGCAGGGCCTCTTTGTCAAACCCCTCAAAGTCCATATAAGTCCACATCCTCACTATAATTATCACTATCACTGACTTGGGCCGGCTGTGGTGGGTGGCGGGTGAAGAACTCGGTAATGTTTTGATGACTGGGCGACCTTGTGCGCATCCTGCCCGCGCCGCTTCCCGCGTATATGAGTAGATGCACCGCGGAAAGTGAAAGTTCGGTTCTGGCGAGGCACCGCGTAAATGAGAAATCGCGGAAAGTGAAACCGCGTAAAGCGGGGTAATACTGTATATTGATTTTTTTTTTAAACCATGTTTTTCTTCTTCCTTTTACTCTAGAATTTGTGGTATAATTTAATATTAAACCCTTTGTTTAATAAAATTATTTTGAGATGCTCGAATATGGAGGAAATTCAGTATTTACCATCATGCTTTTATTGAAAGAATTTGTAAAAGCTCCAGATGTGGATTGTAAGAATGTAAGGGACATTAATCTTTACAAACAGTAATTCCAAACCTTTTTTCTATCTTCAGGCGATCAGCCCTGGTTTGGTAGAGACTGAATTTGCCTCAAGAATGATGAAGGATAAGGAAGAGGGACAGGAAGTTTATTCCAAGTTCAAGTGCCTACAAGTGGAGGACATTGCATCCTCTGTGGTTCATGTGCTTTCTGCCCCACCACATGTTGAGGTGACTGTTTTATGTATATTCACTTATAGGTCATAATGTTTGTGTCTGTACAGTTTTTAAGGTGGCACAATAGTGTTGTGTATTCCTGGCCCAGGAGATGCCCATCAATTCTGTATATTTCTGTTTTGTATTGCAAACAGAGAGTAAATGTTTGCCTTGTGACGGTTGATTGAATGTTGAGAATATTTTTAGCAGCTATTTTCCATGTGCATGAGTGGTGGTTGTGTTTACTTTTCAACTCCTAATATAAATACAGGTCAACCAGCGATTTACCGGCACCATCGGGGTCATGTCGATGCGGGACCAGCAATTTTGCCGAACCATGGGTGGTCACAGCCATGTGGGAGCTACCACTCCCATAACCTCTGACCCAATAGTTATATACCTCAGGCTGCTAGAAAGTCGATACAACATAGCATAGGCAATTATTAAAAGAAAAATTTAATAAAAAACAGGTACAGGGGAAGGAAGGAAGGAAGACCACTTTTACGTTGGGGTGACGATCCAACAGTAGGGGCGAGTGTCCTGGTGCGTTGTCAAGGAGCAACAAAATATTGAATGGAACATTCTGTTGCTCGCAGAATTTCTTCACGTCGGGAACGAAACAGTCATCAAACCAGGAGAGGGACAGACCAGTGAACATCCACGCCTTACGTGCGGTCAGCCTGTGGACATTTAGCTTGGTCATGTCCATGTTCTTGTAGGTGTGTGGTTTGCAGGCTGTATGGATCACCGACAACTTGAGCTTTCGGGTACCGGAGGCATTGGTGGTAAACAGAACGGTGGTGCGCTCCTTCTGCAATTTCCGGCCGCGATACTTGGTGGCAGACTTGACAATGAAGGTCTTGGAAGGTAGCTTTTTCCAAAACAGACCGGATTCATCCATGTTGAACACCTGATCGTCGGTGTACTGTCCTTCCTCCATAACTTCTCGTAAGAATGGAGGAAAATCATTCGCTGCAACACGGTCAGCACTACCACCTTCACCAATAGTGTTAATGTTGGTGATCTTGTTCCTCTTCTTAAACCCTTGCAGCCACCCAGAGGAAGCATTGAAGGGTCTGGGCTCTGCAATTTCCATCTTGCGTGCCACTGCTACGTACAGTTCACGTGTGTACTCTTGAACTGACCGCGTGTCCACCGCCATGTTCCGTCTTGCCTGACGAATCAAGTAGCTCACCAGCAAATTCTCAGTCTTGAGCAGCACCTTATTCTGACAGTACTTCACCATTGAAGCACCTGCAGACTTTGTGATGCTCATGTGTTCTTTTATCTTGGCGGCATCCTTCTTGATCGTCCGGATCGTAGATCCGTTCACGCTATGCTGGCGCGCCAAATTAACTTGTCTCGTTCCTTTTTCTAAATCTTGTACGATCTTCTACTTAACTTCGTAACTTATGGAACGTCGTATCTTTTTTGGCTTGGGGCGGCTGGATCCAGGTAATGCAAGGTTTTTCTGTTGTGGTGGGGGTCCAGTGGAACCCATTCTTAAGAGATTAGCGGGCACAATAGAACACAGTTTACACGGAGTGACTGGGAGGATCATAACTGATGCGGCTAGGTCAGCGGCTTCTTCCCTCCTGTGGCAGGGCACGTCATATTACATTAAACCAATCACAGCTAGCGGGGGAGGGAGGTAAGGATGCGTGGCCCAATCACAGTCCGATACGTCATATGACGTCACCGATAACGCAACAGCGACATACTGCGCAACCTTACTCGTGCCGCTTACCCAAGCATGGCGGGAGGTTTGAATCCAAAAATGGCGCGACGCGGCTGAACCGCCAGCTGCTCTCCGCGTAAATTACCAAATTTACCGCGTAATTAAAGCATTTCAATTCTGGCAAGGCACCGCGTAAATGACCAAACGCGTAAACAAAAACCACGTAAATCCAGACTCGACTGTGTGTGTGTGTGTGTGTGTGTGTGTGTGTGTGTGTGTGTGTGTGTGTGTGTGCGTGCGTGTGCGGCGGAGGCGCAGGCGGCGGCGTAGCGGCGCTGGCGGTGGTGTGCGGTCCGGCGCGGCCTTTAACGGTCGCTTTTACCATACCTGCCTGCCTGTGCTCCTGCCTCCTCATGCGGGCAAGCAGCCCAGCGGTAGGTTGCGCAGTGTATGTCTTTGTTCGCGTTATCACTGGCGTCATATAGCGTATCAGACCTGTGATGGCCGCCCTACCCCCTCTGCTGCTATATATTAACAAAGTATTATAGCGTGTCCGCAAGGAGAGAGGAGAAGAGCGGCCTTAACCTGGCCGCGGCAGTTCATCCCTCAGGCACTCCGTGTGGCAACATCCATTGTTCCGTAAAATAGCTTCCGCGGTTCTACCCAGAAACTTTCATACCTGGACCCAGCACTAAGCCAAAACCGACATTCCTTAAGCTCGAGGTTAGTATCCATCATCCAAGAGTTGGAGAACAAGGCTGAATTGATTGGCTGGCGCCAACATGGTGTGAAACGAATCTCGATCGGGACTAAAGAAGGATCAGCCAGATAAAGAGAACATGAAGATCACAAAGTCTGGGTGCTTCTGTGATCAAATATTTTCACAACCAGGTGCTTCTCCGAATGAAAAAAGTGCCTTGAAATTGTAGTGCGTCAGTAGCGTGAACACTGGCGAGATGGAAACGCGCTCTGTTAAGGACTCACGTGAACTGTACGCAGCAGTCATCACCCGAAAGATCAGAATTAAGGGCTTCGATAGCGGCCTTTAGGTGGTTACAGAGGTTTAAGATCGGAATTGAATCACCAATATAAACATTGGTGGGTACGAAGAAGCGAGAAGTGCTGAGCGTGCTGCGGCTAAAATTTCCTCCACCATTGAGATTATGGAGGAAGACAATGCAGTGATGACCAGGTGTTTAACGCCGGGCAGGTGGTCTTTTCTGGAAAAACTACCTTGATCGCCGTTGTAAGAATGCCTTGGCAAGTTGGGGCGGAAAGATAAGAGAGCTCCGTCCTGTTTACCACCAATGCCTCCGGTACCTGTAAACTCAAGTTATCGGTGATCCACCCCAGCCACATAAACACCACGCCTACAAAACCATGGACGCAGCCAAGCTAAATGTCCACTGGCTGACCACTGCGTAAAGTGGATATTCTCACTGTCCCTCTACCTGGTTTGATAATGGTTTGTTCGATGTAAAAAATTCTGTGGCCGACAAGTCTTTCATTCAATATTTTATTTGCTGCTGGACAGCGCCCAGGACACTAGCCCCAACTGTGAATCACGTCACTTTACAATACTTGCGTAGATGCTTATTGCCTCCTTTTCCATCCATTAATCAGCCATGGACCAGGGATAATCTGCAATGTAAGCTGCATTCTCAACAAAAAATTCAGCTCTGGTGACTACCAACACCAGGGAAGAGTTCGTAACCTGATGACACCACCACCGATGTAGGCGAAGAAGATGAGGGATCAGCAGTTGGAACAGTAAAAATACTCTTCAAGCAATTCTGGAATGCCCCAACATCAAAAGCTGTGGACTTCTTGGTGAGTCATAGGATCAGCTGTCTGTTGCTTTCTGTTCGTCATAGCATGGAACATGTGTTGCATGGAGCCAGGTGAGAGGAGTCAATCTGTGACTGGTGGGGTTTCAGAATGTTGCAGTAGCAATGGACATACCGGAGAAAGCTGCATGAGCTGTTACAGTTGGGTTTCTCCGAGACTGGCGTCCTGGAGGTGATCGAGATCCTGAAGTGACTGCCGACGAGATGTTGGGAAGAACAACCGTCGAAAGAGGATGAAGGTGCGTCATTCTCCGAAGAACACATTGAAGTCATAGTGATATTAAGGGTGCGGGTGTGCAGAAAAATGAAGTCCTTCCTTTCCCACATGTGTGATGACCGCTATGAAGTCTTCCATACGGCTGGTGCAGGCTGAGCCTTCCCGTGCATCAAGGTGTATCAAAGACAACATCAACGCCAGCGTCAGCAAAGCACCAACAGATTTCGCCCGCAACCACCACAGCCAGCCCAAGCCGGTGATAGTGGCGAGTGAAGATGACTTTGAGGGATTTGTCAGGAAGCCACAACCAACTGTAATGTTGATGGTGCCCAGTTCACCATAAGTAATGGTGATTCTACCTGAGGGCAATAATCTGCCCTCTGCCTCGGGAATGGCCTCCATCCCTTTTAGGCCATCTCTCTACTGCATGCGTGTTTCCACTAATTTTTAGTTTTCTAACCTAGCAACTGTTTTCCTAACTCTTCTCTTCTATATTCGTGTTTTTCATATGTCATAAAAGTTAAGATAAATTTTACACAACATAGTTATGTGTAAGTAAAAAGGGCAGAATTTGAGGATCGGCCTGGACTCCATTTCAATTAATCCATATGTTATGTTGTGCTTCACTTTACCGTTTCTGGCTGTAATTTTATAAAGTTACATTAACAGCGTAAAGTGAGGTTAACAACATATATATGTATATATATATATATATATATATATATATATATATATATATATATATATATATATATATATATATATATATATATATATATATATATATATATATATATATATATATATACATACAAATATATATATATATATATATATATATATATATATATATATATATATATATATATATATATATATATATATATATATATATATATATATATATATATATATATACATACATACCCGCCTAATGCGGTTTCCGCTTAACTACGTTTATCACCTGCGATTGCCTGCTTGAGAATGAACTTTCATAACACGGATTTTTCACATGTCTGTGAGTGTCATTAGGCGCCCTATTTTTGAATTGCCCCACCCGCCACCTGCTGACACCACTGTTTTAGCTCATAAAATTCATACAAATTACCCGGCAGAATATAATTTACATTGCTGGAATTCTTATAATTTGGTAATCATTTGAATATAAACGTATATATTTTGCATTAGACATACAAATTTTGAGTAATTTTTTCTCAAATATATATTATCACGTACCAAAATATATGACATTTACTATTCAAAATATTCTCAA